GTGTGTATTGTGAGTGTGTTTGTGTTGTATGTGTGTGTGTTATTTGGTGTTGTGTGTTGTTTGTTATGTATATATGTGTTGTGTGTATATATGTGCTGTGAGTTTGTTTGTATGTATATATTGTATGTGTTATATATATATCCGATAGAACAACTTAAAAGATAAAAAAGTATTGCTAATTTTTTCAAGCTTGTTGCAAGTTCAAAGTATTATTTGTACAAATAAGAATCCCCTTCTGATCTCTTCTTCATATAGATAGATATAGGATCTATGGGGCAATTACTTAGAAGTACAGTATAAAAACCAATACAATAAAGGAAGACAACATAAGAGCTTAAGCTAGCCCTCACATGTCAACCATATAAAAACCAATACAATAAAGTAAAAGTATTCATATATCTCTCCAAACTCAGCAAAAACAGAAGCATCAATAGATATTCATCCAAAATTACTCTTTTAAGAGTACAAGGAAGATCTAAATAGGTCTCCCCTCTTAGACACAATATCCTTTACATGAATCCATCTAATGTTACTACAAATTGCCTCTACGTCATAAAAGGAAGATTTATTAGTAGGATGTAATGATCAATGAATGATAGTATATATACAAAGAGTGGGAGAGGGAGTGAGAGAGAAAAACAAAACATAAGACGTTAAAAACCTCTATCTTTTAAAATATGCATATCGTCCCAAAAGTACCACATTGAGTTGTCAACTTCTTTGAGAGAGAACAAATAAATAAAAACACAATGCTGAAAAGTTGACTATTAAAACCATGGACACTCAAAATTGCTCCCTCAAGATCTGAACCTCTCGATTTTTATTCCGTACAAAAAGAACTTTTGAGACAAAAATACATCAAAAAATTCTCATTTATAGGATGAATAATGTTTTCAACAAATATAATTATGTCTGAAACTTCAGATGATGATGATCTTTCATGACAAACAAATATAATGTTCAATCCCAAGGTGGATGATCATCTTGACTAGTTCGTGGTGGTTCAGGTTTCCATTCTGGTTTCTCATCCCAGTATATGTCATAGTATATGTGGCCAGGGTCACGGTTCTCCACGCAACACCACATTCCGACGTATCTCTTCATGCGATTTCTAAATTTTACTTCTCTTGCCTAAATCAACTCATCACGTTATCATCTAGAACAAAATAGTGATATAGAAAAGGAATTTTTAGCCAAAAAAAAATGTATGATAATGCTTACCTCATCATTGAACCCTTGGAAGGCATTCGCCATGGATGAAAAGTGCAAGACTTTGATATCTTTGTACTGGGAGAATACTTGCATGTACTGTAAGACAAATTGGCAAACTATTTAGCAAAGCTTCTGAACTTTTCTGGAGTACATCAGTAAAAGCTTCAAGCATCTACCCTTTTCATGGAAAAAAAATACAAAATAATCATATCCATGTGTCATGACCATGTCTGATTAACTATAAGACAAAAAAGTAACAAAGTCCGTTAAAAACACAAAAACACGTTTCTAGAGCTTGTAAGAAGAAACCAGTTCTTTGCTCTGCTTTTTGGCATTGTATCAAAAGGCCTTAGAAGAACACATAGAATATGGACAACAATAGAAAGTCAAAGGTTTAAAGTTCCAAGACTAGAATACTAAGTTGTCTGCTTTCTAACTGAACTTTGCTTAGTTAATACCATTAGAAAATGTGCTCCCACCAAATGAACAGACAATCTCATCCTACCACCATTATTATGATCTTAAACCATTACAGAATCAAAATTTAATCATTAGATGTATGTACCATCTGCTCAGTGCTATTTCTGGGAAATTGGATGAAACCACGGCTAGTTGTTCCATCGGATATATTGCATCCTTTGGAATGTGCATCACAAAGTTGAACATTAAGTAATGATTCCTTCACCTGAATCCATAATAAAAAAAGGTTATTGGGATTGAAATATATGTATGAGCCATTGAAAAACTGTACGAGCTGCTAAGTATTGCATATTGATACAATAATATTTTTACATGTTTAGGCACTGATGGATTCTGCAGGAATGAGTACTCCCTGAAATGAATTTGTGGTCCAAACTCTTCTTCAGAAAGGCCATGGAGCATGGTATGAATCTGCAACGGTGAATCAACTCTAATCAGATGATCGAAATTGTGGCAGCAGGCGTAACAATTATAACATGCAAAAAACAGTTTACATGCAGTGGAAGAAGAAAAAAACAAGCAGTGAGATGCTGTAAATATAATCAAGCATATACTTCCATTCACAAAAGACTGTCCTTTTAAAATAACTAATTAATACTGACAACAAAGACTAAAAAAATTTATTCCCAACCATTATAGATGGGATTGCTAATGGATCTCCTCTTTGTTGCTATGCTCGGTATCAAGATTTTAAATACTGGTCCAATACAAGTTTTCAACATTTGATCTGACCATTATGGTACTGGTATATCAAGCAGTGTATTCTTTGTTACATTGTTACC